TCGCCAAGAGGGCGTGCAGGTCCTCGTAGAATTTGTCTTTGACGGCGTCGGGGTTGGTCATCGTCGGAGCGTAGGCGCTGATGATGGTGGCGAATCTGCCTCCCTGGAGAGGCAGGCGGAGGCTCATCAGGCGATCGTTGATGCCCTGCGGCAAACAGGGCAGTCGTCCCACGATGTCGTTCCGAATGACGAAGGCGACGCCCGCGTCTCGTCGCTCTGCTTTGGGTCGGCCACTCCAGAAGAAGGTGTAGCCGACACCCACCTCCTCCAGTTGGCCTTGCTCGGAGAATCGGGTCTCGCTGAGTGCGGCGATGTCCACCTTGTAGCGCGCCAGTTCTCGTGCCACTAGCGCCGTCCTCCGTTCCGGTCGGTTGCTCCTCGGATTGTCTAAAAGGGAACGAACATTCCAGGCTGCCAGAGTGAGCGGGCTCACCCTGCCAGTCTGGTGACAACGAGTAAGGCGACAGGAAGGAGATGGAGAAGAAGGTGACGAAGGAGAAGAATAGGCAGAGGAAGAGGTAGAAGAGGTAGGATGAGGAGAATGAGTATGGTTGTTGTTGTTATTGGTATTGTTGTTGTTTCGATTTTGATTGTTTCGACCATGATTAGACGTCTGCGGCCCTGGCTAGCCTGGAGACGGCGTGGTACCCAGCAATGTTTAGGCCACCTTTTCTAGGCCCGTCCCCTCGTGGGGGCTGGCAGTGCCATCCCTGAATAGGGCTGCCATGTGCCGTTGTGGCACGGCCGAACTCCACTATGGGACCACGACTTCGGGTTGTAGTGGAGAACGACTCGAATTCGCCGTAAGCCGCGGTCTCCGACGGCGTAGGTGGGCGCGTCAAGGCGATGTCGATGTGGAGATCCATCCCGTCGCCGGCTGCCCAGCGGAGTGCAGAGACGAACCACGTCACAACGGTTCCGACGCAAGGTTCCATCCGACCTTCCATCCAGCGGAATCCGCGAACCCTGTGCACACGGCACAGCGCACAGGGCCCCCTCACCTGGTTTAGCCCGCCGGTCGAGACGGTTGCCCGGGGTGTGGCCGCTGAGCAGAGTCCAGCTACGTGGAGCCACAAGTGAGAGTTGAGTGCCAGCAAGTGGACGCTAGGCGCAGTCTCACCTGCAAGCAAGTGAGCGACCACCACGACCATTACGTGAACCCACCGCTGACACCCATACATCCCCGAACCCGCCCTACAACCCACATGATGGGGCTGGCATCTGACTGAGCCTCAGCAACGCGTGGCCGGGTACGGCTGATATTTTACAATAGAAGAGCTCCACTTTCGGATTTATTGGGCCTCTAATACTTCACAATCTACCAACAAGACAAAAATGCCGTCCCCCTATTTCTAAAGGGCTCAGCTATCCAAAAGTCAGTGGGAGTCCGATCGTCGCAAACGACGGTGGGCGCAGAGGTGACTTGCGCATGAAGTCTATAATTCAGCTGACCTAACCAACAAGCATAGGCCAGAGAAAACTGAGGGCGTTCATACTGACTTGGTTAATTTCTGAGTAAAACCTTCGTAAGCATGAAGTGTTTAGAAGGTACTTCTTCGGTCGTGCAGGGATTAAAAGGTAGCAATTTTCCATTAAAATAGGCGTCTGTTGAATGAGTGTTTGTTTGTTTTTAGTTCCGCTGGGCTCATTATTTTGTAACGTAGAGTAGGTGGGCTAAATCATGAAATGTGAATCTAAATTTCGAAATGCTTTTTCGTTTTGAAAGGATTAATTAAGTAGACTTGTAAAAATAATCATTGCGCCGCATAATTCTATAGTAATCCATTAACCTCAGGGTGCCGGCTTTCGAACGAACTTCTCCCCGGCTGCAGGCAAAAACAATACACTGTAAAAAATGACTACTTATGTAGCATGCATTTTTTCATTGATTTTCGATGCCCTTAAAAATTCAATTACATCTCATGGAAACCATGCATAAAAATAGTCATTCTCTCGTTCACTCGGTCGAAAATTACGCCTTCTTTCAATTTTGTACCCGAAGAAACGGTATAATTCGGTTTTCAAAAACTTTCCCAATTCCGAATAATTTTGAACCCGACCTACCGTTACACTTGCATTCAGGGTTTCCAAACTACAAGGCGTATATTTTCTGAGTGCGGAAAACCATACATTTCTCTGCAGTATTAAGAGGAGACCATATGGGATTCATAAAATTTAGCAGTGCATACTGTTAACTTTACAAGCCATATTGGTAAAGGCAGAGGCATGACGTTTTACGAACGGCCATCTCACGCTATTAAAAAATCTCACAATTAGAAACTTTTTTAAAACCGAATTATACACTTTCTCTGAGTACAAAATTGGAAGAAAGCGTATTTTTCTACCGAATGAGCGGAAGAATGAATATTTTTATGCATGTTTTCCATAAAATATAATTTAACTTTTAAGAGCATCGAAAATCAATGAGAAAAATGCATGCCACATAAGTAGTCATTTTTTACAGAGTATAGGTCTTGCATGCAGCCAAAAAGAAGTTTTTTCGAAAGTCGGCATCCTGAGGTAACTGAATTGTTATAAAATTATGCTGTACAAATACAAGTTTTACGAACCTACTTAATTAATAATTTCAAAATGAAAACGTATTTCAAAATTTCGATTGACATTTCATGATTTAGCCCACCTACTGTATGTCCAAACAAACAAACAAAAGCGCTCTAAAACTTATTTTTCCTCAACTGCGAGCTATTTATTTGTAAGTTATTCACTCTGAATCCTCACCTGGCCTTTTCCCCTTGAGCCTCAAGCCCTAAACGTTTGGAACATTCTGATACCGAATCTAAACAGAGGTCACAGTCGCCTTGCACCAAAGTCAGGCCGCGCGGACGGACGCCAGATACAAAACCAGACCCAGAAACGATGTCCAACACTGACTGGAAGGCGCAGTGGTGAGTTTCTTGCTAACCGCACCGTAGAGGAGTGGTTTACACTGAGTATATACCTATCTCTCCCCCCCCCTCTCTCTCTCGTCCCACGTTCTAGCGACAAGACAAAATGAGGATGAATAGAGGTTTATCTGTGCGCAGTGACTGACGGGGCCGGATCCAAGACCGGGGGCGTCATCTCCGCGCTAAAATCGGATATGTGGCCCCCGACTGCAGATGCGCTGGACCGAAACGGGGCACCGACTAGTTCACGGCATGCACCTAATGGGCTGAGCCAGGTCTGTGCTGTGCCGTAAGTACCGTCGTGCATGCGTGTGACGCCGTAGACGTCGACCTTCACTCCGCACCAGCCAATGCGCCCAAACTCATCACTGATTGGCTGGCAGGTTTTAACTGTCACCTAATGCAGGGGAGAGGGAGGAGAAGGAGAGAGAGAGAGAGAGGGAGAGAGAGAGAGAGAAGCCGACACTGGGGAAGCGACCGTATTTCTCCCCATGACCAATCTGCCACGCCGAAATCTATCCCGATGCTCCATGAGACGTGGCTCGGGGGGTTGGCAGCTGCGGGGGGACCTCGGTCCTCATGGGAGCATTTTGTAATGACTGAAGAACTGAGAGTCAGACTGCACTGTCTCCTCCCGCATGTGGTCTTTGTGGCATTCCCAAACATGCGGGGTCTAAGCCAGCCTTAGTGTAGCTTGATACATGAAGTGAGGGTCAGGTCGTCTGTTTGGTCCGCGTAGACGGACTGCCTGGCTTTGTCAGCCACTTCATCCACGCCCACCTCCGACCGCCTTGCCATTTTCTCGTCACCAGTGCTGGGCCAACCCTATGGGGTACGCGGCATGGAGTCTTAGAAAAGGATTGAAGATAGGAGTCAATAGAGAGGATGAAAAGCATATTCATCTGTTCGGGTAACTTTGAGATCGAAAGCGAAGGCAAAAGTGAACTTTCCGCTCAGTACGCCACTGTTTCTCTCAAAGTGAGTACTGATCAAGTTCAAATGGAAAGTGTGTCAAAAAAGTAAAAGTCCTCAGGAAAAAAGAGCTCGTTCAAGTACAGCCCCCGACTCCGTCCCACAAACGCCAGTCCCTTGATCGCATTCAGGTGTTGGTGGTTTAGGTGTTGCGCGATTAGCAGCTGTCGCACGAGAGGAGAAACTGGTAGTATTGGTCTTTGTAAACCGTTTTGCTTGACGGGGAGGAGTGTATAGTGCTGCTAGAACCGTGCACAAGCAAGACCGGCGCGAGTGCTGTTCAGGCGGATTGGTCCCATTTCTGGTAGGCAGAAAGAATTGGTAGACCCTGGCCCGTCTGCTTGCAGACTCCAACGGGTCCTGCTGACGCTTCCTCGCAACTTTCGTTCCCAGATGCGGGCTGTAACCGATTTGATTGTATGAAAGGAGCCCTTGTCGAGGGGCAGCCTTTAGAACCTTGGAGCTAGAAGCTGTAAGGAGGCTTTTTAAAGTTCCAAGGACGCCAAGACCATGTCCTTTCGGGGAGGCAAAATTGTCAACTGCGAGGCACAGCTTCGTGAATGTCAGTTGTACAGGAGGGGAACTGAAGCTGGGTGATTTGGATGCAATTGGCTGAAAGCGAGTAGCCACGTTGCTTTCATTCTCTCCGCCTTCCCGTCGCCAATAAGGAGAAGTTTGGGGACGCAGGGGTGCCAGGTCCGGCTCACATCGGAAACTTGCGTTGTTTTGCCTGCAAAAGTCCCACAGGGCTTCTGAAAAATCTTTACGCGTACAGAAGACATGACGAAGATAGAGGAATCCGGGTTTGAGGTCCGTCACCCCTGTGAACAGTGACTGAGCTATGGATGTTGGGTATACTGACCTCTCGGTGGGATGAACTTGAACGTCAGTTTTATACGTCAGTACCGAGAAACGTCCTATTTGATGACTGAAGTGTGCAGTCTTGAAATCGTTAGACGACGAACGCTCAGTCACGTAAGGGTCAAACAGGCCTGTTTCAGTGTATCCATCAGGTATGGAGCAGGAGCCATTTTGGTCATTTTTGTCATATTCCATTTCCAGTGGAGTCTCCTCCTCCGGCTCCGCAGACACATTCTTTTTATGAGCCTTGTTTGAACTGGAGGATACTTCGATAGACTTCCCGTCGGAGGCGAGTTTCATTTCCGTGCCAGGCAATCCCACTCGAAGATCCAACTGTCCACCGCTATCCGACTTCCTTCTCTTCGGCCAGGAAATGAGCAAGTCAAGGTTGTAGGTCACCTCCGTGCCCCCGTCTTCGGAATTGTCTGCAGGGCATACCTCGGACTCCTGGGTCAACTTCAAGACGGATCCGTCGACTGAGGCCCGAATTCCAATGACTGAGTGCTCGCAAGACCCTCGCGACCTCGAATCCGGTCTTTTTGTAAACTTTTTGGATACCTTGAAGACTTTAGAGTCCACCTCCTCAATTTCATTCATCGGCTGACTATCGAGAATGATTTCAGGGATCGGTCGTTCTGGGAGGCCCTCCTCCTGTATAATTGCGCCTACAACCTCAGCAGGTTGATCTATAGTTTCTAGCCGGTCTTGGAGAACAACCTCATTAGCATCATATGAGTCTACCTGGAGGACAAGTAAGGGAGAATCCCTGGGCTCTAGTAAGTTTTCATTCAAACTTTCCTGACCATTACCGTCCTCAGTTAACTTTGTATTGGTGGCCGACTCGTCTGGAAGGTCCTGAGGCGGAATAAAGTCTTCGTTTACCTCCGAATAGGGAGCAGATTCTTGGGTCACAACAGCGGTCGAGGAAATATCGATGACACTCTCGACAACAATCTCCTTGCCATCGTTTGATACCATGCTCGTGACGTTGGCTTCGCGACCTAATTCATCGATCGCAGAAATTTGAATTCCTTCTATTACTGACGCCCCTACTGATCCCCCAATTTGTTCGGGGTCAGTTAGGACGGGGCCATCAACGGCCACCTCAATGGTATAGTACTGAGGCGCCTGCAATTCAATTTCACCGCCGTTATCATTTGGTGTTTCGTTAACTAAAGAAACATTTGCGATAAATTGCGAGGACTCAATCCGTTGGATTGAACTTGATGTGCTAACAGAGAGAGTTGCTACAAGCACCTGAGCTAGCTTGGGATCTTGAACGGAATTAGCAAGCGAATGTTCTGGTATCGATCTCTCGGAAGGTTGGGATTTTGATGGGACAGTTTTCAGGGACTCGTTTTCGGCAACATTTGTTTCTCCGGACTGATAGTCGCTGGTGGGATTATGATAATCAGCTGCTTCTGGACTGGGTTCTGCGTCCACCTGGTCATCATTAGGTGAAGCTTCAAGCTTGTCCGCAGGCACTGGGTCCGAAACTTGCAGATTTTCCTGGGCTTCAGCTACGTCCTCTGTTGTGACCGTTTCTGCGGCCTCGTGCGGTGGCTCCTCCTCTTCAACGTTCTCATCCGGCACATCCTGTACAGCCTCTTTTTCTTCTTCTTCTTCTTCTTCCTCCTCTTGTGCCTTTTTCTCGGCTCCCACATTCATAACTAGTCGAGCTGATGAGCTGGAGGATCTCGGCTTGGGTACAGGTTTCAGTCCCCTCTCAGCTTCTAGAGACTGTGATTTGTTGACTAAGTGAGATAGAAGGCTGTGCAAAACGGGTTTCAACCCCTCCAGTAAGTCTGCTTGGCTTAGACTTTCCAAAGAGTCCGTAGAGGGTTTCAATATTCGAATCAGTTCTTCGAGAATTGAGTTGTCCAGCGCCAGTGCTTTATCTGTCGGATCATAGGCATAATCCAGAGTGATCCGATATCTGCTTTTTTGGACTTCTGGCGCAGGAGCTGTTTCCCCCTGGACGATGGCTTGAATGATGCTGCCGTCATCTGACGACGGGGTCTGACCATTTCGTAGCGCAAAGTTTCCCTGGAACCTATTGCAGGTTTCAAAATATTCCTCGCTAGTGACAGCTTCATTGGCGTTGGACGCATTTTTTCCTGACCTAGATGGCTGCCTCCGTTTCATCGTTCCTCTCGCTCTCGCGTGGAAACCGCTTTACTTGCGTGCGAGGAAGCGTCTATTTGGTCACTACGGCATTCATGAAACCGCCGACCACTGCGCTTCTTGCGGGCCGGGGGCGAGCGTCTGAAGTGTGCGCGCATATCCCAGCCACGCAGGTTTATCGATCGCTGTCACGCTGTCAACCGGACGCATCGGTCAGCGAGCATTTTAATTGGTTGTCCACTGCAGATAATGAGTTAGCTTTACCACTCCAAACGAACCAACTCGACGGTACCCTACAGCCCACTGAACATCGGTAAGTTGACGTAGGGCTGCGAATCGCACTATTGGAGAACCCGAGCGACTGGCAGAATGAAGCACTGACCCTGGACACCGCAATACGAATGCACAAAGGCATTCCGATGACCTGCGATAGTCCAGAAGGGGTTGACTATTTCTGCCCTCTCTGAATGATAGACTACTTCTGTTTTTTCTCTCTTCGTAGGTCTTTCTCCATACCTGAATGGGCTAGCCGGACGAACTTCGGTAACTCATCTGCTCTGACGCCAAATGCAGTGCTGTTTTGAAAAAATGTTCCGGACAGGCGCGTTTGTGTGATAAATTCTTATTGGTCTGGTAACGCAGGATTTTGGCATGTGTTACAGTCAGCGAACGCTTTCATGAAATTCGGACAGGAATTCTGCGGTGCGGTTTTCATTAGGAAAGATTACCTAAATGGGGTTGTTCTACTGACTATCTTGCGGCATAAAATATGATATTTCAGAAACGACAGCAGGCTTGTTTTTGAATGCACTCCTTCTCGGTCGCCTGAAAAGACCGCTTTCGGTACAAAAACGACTACTTCTGTAGCATGTACGTTTTTCTATTGATTTTGGGTGTCCTTACGCAGTCAGACATATTTAATAGAAAATGCATATAAAATATCCTTCCTTGTATTCATAAGTGAAGAAGAAGAAGAGCCGAGCACCGGAACACTTCGTTTATCATCCTGAGCTTTCAGACGCGTACAGCAGCCCATCGTCAGAGGTAATGGCAGAAACAGGACAGGCGGCAGTTATAAGGCACG